AGTCTGTATAGACAATCTGAAGGCACAGGGAATCTGTATGGACGATCCGAAGGTCCAGGGATCCATCCAGTAGACGATCTGAAGACATGGGAGTTGGTACAGACGATTCGAAGTCCAGTCAGTCGGTATAAATAATGTGAAGGCCCCATGAGTCTGTATAGACGAGACGAAGGTCCAGGGAGACTGTAAGGACGATCCGGAGATCCACGGAACCGGAGTTCGTCTAGACGATCTGAAACCCAGGGAGCTGGTATAGACAATTTGAAGACCAGGGAGTCGATATAGACAGCCTGAAGGCCCAGGAAGTCTGTAAAGACGAGCTAAAGACCGAAGAAGTCGGTGTAGACGATCCGAATACAAGGGAGTCGATAAAGACGATCTGAAGCCCAGGGAGTTGGTATAGACTACCTGAAGCCCCCGTAGTTTGTATAGACTACCTGAAGCGCATGAATATATAGACCATCTAAAGGCCTGAGAGTCGGTATGGAACATCTGAAGCCCAGGGATTCGGTATAGACAATCTAAAGAAAAAGGAGTCGGTATAGACGACGTACATCCCAAGGAGTCGCTATAGATAATCAGAAGTCCAGGAAGTCGATATGATAATCTGAAGTCCAAGGAGTCGGTAGAGACATGCTACAGTACAGGGAGTTTATATAGACGAGCTGAAGACCAAAGAACCGTTATAGATGACCTGAATCCCAGGGAGTCGGTATAGACGAACTGAAGCACAGGGTGTCTGAATAGACGATTTAAAATCCTGGGAGTTGGTATAGAAAATCTAAAGCCCAGGGATTCGGAATAGACGATCTAAACCCCAGGGAGTCGGTATAGACGATCTGAAGCTCAGGGTGTCTATAAAGACTAGCTGAAACTGAAGGACTTGGTAAACACCAGCTGAAGAACAGGTCTTTCTATAGCTGAACTAAAGACCGAATGTCTTTTTCCAGAAGACCTTAATTCAAGAAGCCTTTATATTTTCTTGTTTGAAATAAAAAATCTCTCATAAAAATATGAGCATCACTACCAAGGCCAATCAGTCAACCCCTTCTTTTTTTGTTGTTGTTAATGGTGGGTGTTCATGAACCTGAACAATATCAACAATTTCCACATTTCTTTATTGACTTAGCATTTTAAAAAAATATGATGCGTAATAAAACTGTAAATTGAAGATGTACAAATGGATTTGCGGGGCCTTAAATGGAAGATATAATGGGGTCACATATACCCCCTGCATTGCAGACCCCACACATGCTGGCGCAGACACAATTGAATCGCAGTTAGATTTAATGAACTTCAACGCTACAGATAATGGGGCACTGTGGTTCGAGTTACGAATAAATTTGAAATTTCCAAGTTCAATGTAAAATGGTCACAAATGTCATATACATGTATAAAACTATTAACAAATTGCTTAAATTTTTTAAGAATGTAGGAAATTGAGGAAAACTTGATTTATTTTGATATTTTTTTTAAAATTTTGCATAAAATATATGAAATGTAAAAAAAGGTCAAAAACGTCAAATAACCGTCAAAAACCAAACCATCCCTATTTGTACCAAAAAACCTTTTTTTTGTGAAAAAATAAACAATATTATTGAAAATTTGAAGTAATGTAAAATAATGTCAAAATCATGTATAAAAAGTATAAAAAGAGCAATTATTTATCTGAAGAAACCAACATACGAAATGTAAAAAAATTCAAAATCGTCAAATACCCGTATAAAGGTAGTAATTACATTATACACATAAATATGAAGATTAGTATTAAAAATGTATATTATGATCTTTAATGTAGAAAATGTCTAAAACTTGTATAAAAGGTATAAAACAAATAATTGTTTCTTATAAGATGTCAATTGGGTGAGATGAAAAAACTGCAACCAACTTCAGACTGCTGTCATTTTTAAATCACTCGCCCGACAGCAGTTAAAATGATTCCAGTGACAGCTCTTTATATTGTTTACAAGCGTACAAAAGCATTTTGGTGAGAATCTCCCAGAAAGAAAGTTATTTGTGATGGAATTCAAGCGTGATAGTGTGATTTCTTTATATTTGGCTGGAAAACCACAAGTGGCTATCGTGAGAGCACTCCAGCATTAAAATGTAAACAAATCTGTTGTGTCTCGCTCGTTACGGTGATACTGGTGGCATAACCCGATGTCAAGAAAGTGGACGGAAGAAAACTGCAAGGTCAGCTGAAATGGTACGAAAAGTACAGAAGCGACTTGATCGAAACCCGCGTCGCAGTGGCCGAAAATGGCTGGCTCGTAAGCTGAACATATCGCAAACTTATTCCATTCGGCAAATATTAAAAAATGAGCTCGGGGTAAAGCCATTGGAATTCCAGAAAGTGCAAGAACTTACACCGCAACAGAAAGAAAATAGACTCAAAAGAGCCAAAGAGTTGCTTCGCTTGGCCGAAAGTGGTGAACTGCCGAATTTGGTTTTCTCCGATGAAAAAACATTCCTTGTCCAGCGGTTTGTAAGCAAACAAAATTAACATGTTTACCTGCCAAAGAGGTCAGCTGAAAATGTGCATCTTCGGTTGACCACCAGAACTCAAGCCTTAAGCCGGCCATAGTGATGGTGTGGGCCATAACAGCCGATGGTTGCTCTCCGCTCGTATTAATCGACCGTGGCATCAGAATAAATGCCCAATATTATCGTGAAAATATTCTGGAGGGTGTATCAAAGCCTTGGGCACGCAAACATTTTTGGCCGCAGACCTTGGACATTCCAAACAGGACTCAGCACCATCGCACTCAGCACGCGCCTCCCAAGAATGGTTACAAAATAAGGTTCCTCGCTTCATTTCCAGCACACAATGGACACCAATATCTTGTGAGCAGCTTGTGACGGTTTCATTGGCCGTTTGAAAGCCATAATTCGTGCCAAATTCCTTTGTAACTCCTCGAAATACCCATGTCAGACCCAACAATGTATATATATTCTTGATCAGCGTAAAATTCTAAGTCGATTTTGCGATGTCCGTCCATCTGGCTGTTGTAATAACGCTATTTTTCGAATGAATCGAGATAGATGGCTAAAATTTTGCACACATGTTTATTTTTCCAGTAGGCAGGTTAAGTTCGTAAATGGGCCATGTAGGCCCACGCATTCATATAGCCCTCATACAACGTTACCTCCCGATATTCGGTATTTTGATGATTTTAGCGACATTATTCACCGGAATTGTTTCAAATTTGGTATTTGAAGTCCGAAATGGATCCTACACCCTAAAACAGAAAATTGTCTGTACAGGTCCACGTCTTCGTATAGCTCCCATATAACGGTACCTCCCAATATTCGGTATTTTGATGAATTTAGCGTCATTATTCACCAGAATTGTTTCAAATTACGTATTTAGAGTTCGCACTGGGAACTACAGTCAGTGACAGAAAATTGTCTATACGGGTCCAGGTATTCGTATAGGCCCCATACATCAGTACCTCCCAATATTCGGTATTTTGACGATATTAGGTACAATACCCACCGAAATTGTTTGAGTTGTCGTCTTTGAAGTTCGCATTGGATTCTAAAGCCTGTGACAGAAAATTGTGTATGCTGGTCCAGGTCTTCGCACAGCTCCTATATAACGGTACCTCCCTATATACGATATTTTGATGATTTTACCTAAATTATTCACCGTTTATTTCAAGTTTCGAATTTGAATATGGTAATGGCTTATGACAAACAATGCCTACGTAGTTCCACGTCGTATAGACCCCAATATAACGGCTATGTTCGGTATTTGTAAAATTTTAACAGAATTTTTTAGGATTTTATTTTTTGAAAATTTCCAAATTTGTTCCAAATGGTGGAGGGTATTCAAAGTTCAGCCCGGCCGAACTTACTGCTTTTTAACTTGTTATACCCTCAGCATAAAATTCTAAGTCGATTTAACGAAGTCCGTCTGTCTGTCTGTTGAAATCACGATACAGCCCACGTTATTTGACGTAGAGCGTCAAAATTTAGCAGAACGATTTGTATTGTATCTAGGACGGTTGGTATTGAAAATAAGATATATCGGTCCACGTTTTGGTATAGTCCCCATATAACGGTTTTTGATGGTTTTTGATCGCGCATTTGTCTAAAAATTGGTATTTGTGGGTTGTAATGGGTTATAACTCCGTTGGCGAAACATTGTATGGGTTTTAGCGGTACCTCCCGATATTCGGTATTTTGATGATCATGTCTAAAAATTGGTATTTGTGGGTCAAATTTGTCCTTTACCCTAAGGTGGAGGATATTAAATGTTCGGCCCGGCCGAACTTGATGTTTTTTTACTTGTTTACATTCATTCAATAAAACTTAAAAAAATTATGGCGTTTGACTTTGTTGCAGTTTTTTTCATCTCACCCTGTATATTATGGTCTACAATGTCGAAAATGTCTAAAACTTGTATAAAAGTTATAAAACGAAGAATTGTTGATTAGGAGCTCTCAATTTGTGTGTTTGAGGATTAATTTTGATATTGACTCGTTAAAAATGTCGTAAACGTTGAATGGAGCCAAAAATAGTTAAATGGATGTATGGGAATCACTGTTGTTGTTTATTTAGTTAGCGGTATTAAGTGGATATTAACGAAAGTGTTTTTGTTATTTTATGGAGCAAAATTGTTGCCCGACATTTCAGCCTGTTTGGTTTGAAGCAGGGGTGGTATGGTTAAAATGTGGATCGTGAAATGTGAACGAGAAGGGAAAGATGTGATTGCGTGCAATTTCATGATCGGACAAAGCATGGGTCAGGCAAGAAGTTACAAAGCAGAGTAAGGGTGGCGGTGGTGGTAATGGTGATGTGTGTCAATTAGTGCATGGTGTTGTAAAAGAGAAGAAATTTTCACACGACCAGGTTGTGTTGTGACTTAATCAATTATAGCAAGTATTAAAGACATGCCCATCAAACCTTACAACCTTTCAACACCCCATCATCATCATCTTCTTCAAAATGAGGGGAAATAATGTTGTCACATTCGACTGAATGACTGTCTGACTTACGCCGTTAACAATTCATTTTGCGCCTTACTGCCACCCAATGACCAAACTTCGCTCTTTTTTTGTCGCGTCGAATAGGAGATTTTCTTATTCGTCGAATCGAAACGTCCCTTCGGATGACCTTTGCGACCGCCTGGTATCCACAAGAGACGCATACCAGAGGTTCGACTGTTACGTGATGCCATCACAACTAGAGTTTGGCGTTGTCGATTTGAATATGGAATTGGAATATAAAGAAAGATGAAAGAAAAAGAACGAAAAAAATAAAAAAATATATATTTAATAAATTTTGGTAACAAATTTTTGAATTTTTTAAAATAGCAAGTAATTTGGTATGTTGGTGGTGGGGGAAAGGGGAAGAGTTGCGATTTAGAACATGATTGGTTGTTGTTGTGTTTGATGAGTTTTTTTGTAAGAAATTTTGTTATTTCCCTGTTTACATAGGCCTTTTTGAGTCATTTTAGACCAAAAAAGGAAAATGAGACAGTTAGTACCCATTTTTTTAATGTTAAACTGTCGTAAATAATGAGGAGGTTTGTATTTTTTTCGATAATGCAAAAAAAAAAATTACAAAATGTCGCAAACGTCTGAAACCTGTATAAAAGATATAAAACATATTTTAAAGTAAGTACATATTAAAAGAATTTATATTTGCGTACTTTTTTGATATTCAAACGAAAAGTACAAAATGTCACAAACGTCAAAAACCTGTATAAAAGATGTCGAAAACGTCAAAAACCTGTATTAAAGGTATAAAACGTATTTTGAAGAGGGAAATGTGTTTAGAATTGATATTTCAATAATTATTTGTTTAAAACCCATAAAATAAAAAATTTCGCAAAAGGTATAAACCAAGTAAAATGGAGTCGTAAACGTAAAAATACCTATAAAATCACAAAAATGTTTTATAACATAAGTACAAATGTATTGTTGTGACATTTTATGCTTATAAAACGAAAAAATACAAAATGTCGTAAACGTCAAAAACCAGTATAAAAGGTGTAAACACACATTTTACACCCCCACCATATATATTAACCACAGCTAAAAGTTAAAAGAATTGGATTCTTATGCCTGTAGAACGTAAATTACAAAATGTCGTAAACGTCAAAAACCTGTATAAAAGTTGTAAAACGCATTTTAAAACAAGAAAATAGGTCTAGAGTTGATAATTCAATAATTATTTCGTTAAACTCCACAAAAAAAAAAAAAAACAATTTGTCGTAAATGTCAAAAACCTGTATAAGAGGTGTAAAACGTATTTTAAAATAAAAAAAGTGGAAATTCAAAAGGTTCATATTTTGTTTAAATTTTTATCCGTAAATTACAAAATGTCGTAAATGTCAAAAACTTGTATAAAAGGTGTAAAACGTATTATATACAGGGTAATGCGAGTAGAATTGGTATTTCAATAATTGATTTAAACCCGTAAAATACAATGTGTCGCAAATGTCAAAAACCTGTAGAAAAGGTATAAACCAAGTAAAAATGAAGAGTCGTAAACGTAAAAACACATATAAAATCTTAAAGATATTGTATAACACGGATAATAAAAACTAAATTACGTAAATTAACGTAAATTACAAAATGTCATAAACGTCAAAAACCTGTATAAAATGTCAAAAACTTGTATAAAAGGTATAAAACCACGTATAAAATCTTAAAAATGTGTAACACGAATAAAAAACTACTGTAATATTTTATGCTTATAAAACGTAAATTACAAAATGTCGTAAACGTCAAAAATGTCAAAAACCTGTATAAAAAGTGTAAAACGTATTTTAAACAGGGAAATGCGAGTAGATTTTATATTTCAATAATTATTTGATTAAAACCCGTAAAATACAAAATTTCGCAAATGTCAAAAACTTGTGTCAAATGTCAAAAACCTGTATAAAAGGTATAAATCAAGTAAAAATGGAGAGTCGTAAGCGTAAAACCCATTAAGATTGCCAAAAATGTGTTTTAACACAAGTAAAAGTTAAAAGAATTGAGTTTTTATGCCTGTAGAACGTATATTACAAAATGTCACAAACGTCAAAAACATCTATAAAATGTGTAAAATACGTTTTTAAACAAGAAAATTGTCTTGAGTTCATGTTTTTAAAAATGATTTCGTTAAAACGCGTCAATAACAATCTGTCTTAAATGTCAAAAACCTGTATAAAAGGTATAAAACGTATTTTAAACAGGAAAATGCGAGTAGATTTGATATTTAAATAATTATTTGATTAAAACCCGTAAAGTACAAAATGTCGCAAATGTCAAAAACTTGTATAAAAGGTATAAACCAAGTAAAAAGGAGTCTCGTAAAGGTAAAACCACGTATAAAATCTTAAAAATGTATAACACGAATAAAAAATTATATTTTATGCTTATAAAACGTAAATTACAAAATGTCGTTAACGTCAAAAATGTCAAAAACCTGCATAAAAGGTATAAAACGTATTTTATATTTCAATAATTATTTGATTAAAACCCGTAAAATACAAAATGTCGCAAATGTCAAAAACTTGTATAAAAGGTTTAAAACCAGTAAAAATGAAGAGTCGCAAGCGTAATAATTGTGAAAAATATATTTTAACATGTAATCCGAAAAACTAATATTTAACGATTAAAATGTTGAATTACAAGATGTCGCAAATGTCAAAAACCAGTATAAAAGGTATATAACGTATTTTTAAACAAGGAAACGTGTATAAAATTGGCATTTAAATTTCTTTTGATTAAAACCCGTAAAATACAAAATGTCGCAAATGTCAAAAACCTGTATAAAAAGTGTAAAACGAATTTTAAAACAAGAAACGAGTTAATACTTTTAAAAGGCTTTAAGAATTAAGTTGATATGTAACATTTTTTATTAAAATCCGCGAAGTACAAAACTTCGTAAACGTCAATAACGTGTAAAAAGGTTCAAAATGTTTTTTTAATATGTGAATAAAGTTATTATTTTTATGTTTTTTTTAAGAACCATAAAATGAAAAATGTCGTAAACGTTAAAAATCTGTATAAAAGGCAAGAAATTTTGTTGTTTCGTTGTTCACATTGGTCATGTTGGGTCATTTTAGACCAAAAAAGGAAAAAGTACCAATATTTTGTCAAAACTTCAAAAAACTGTATAAAAGGTATAAAATGTGTTTTAAAGTCAGTAAAAATGAATATAATTGATCTTTTCATATTTTTTTGATTTTAAAACGAAGAGTACAAAATGTCACAAATGTAAAAAACCTGTATAAAACCTATAAAACGTATTTTACATTAGGACAAAATTGCAAATTTGAAAAGTTCATATTTTGTTTTAATTTTAATCCATAAATTACAAAATGTCGTTAACGTCAAAAACCTGTATAAAAGGTATAAAACTTATTATTAAACAAGAAAAAATAATAAAATGTGATGCTTTAATAATGGTTTGACAACTAACAAACAAACTACAATATGTGGTAAGCATCGGACTTGTATAAAATGTCTAAAACCTAGGTTGAAACATGTAAAATGGTGTAAAATTCATATTTTAAAATTTTTTTGATTGTCGCAAACGTCAAAAACCCAATACCAAGTTTGATACATAAGTTTTAACAAGAAAATATGGAAAGAGTGGATATTTGGATAATTTTTGAATTTAACCCATAACTAAAAAAATCTAAAATTAAAAAAACTTGTAAAATTCTAGAACTCGAATTTATAAAACTTTTCTCAATTTCCAGTTTCCAGCAAAAGGCCACAAAAGGATGCTGAAAAGTGTCAACCACAATAGATTCCATTCGATGTCATTGGTATGGCTCACATAGGCCTCCTCTTGCCATGTTTCTTTTTCCTCCTTTGGTTGGTTGACAAAATCCCACAAAAAAAGTGGTACACATAAACGTGACATTAATCAGGAACACGATTTACGACTCACTGTAAGTGTGTGTGTGTGGTAATGTTGTCACCAAGCAAAGGCCTCCCAACCCAAAAAAGGAGACACCAATGGATGCCACCACAAAAATTTTCTTTCAAAAACAACTTTAAATGGTAGAGAATAATGCAATCCAGAGTTTACCAAGAAAGGCAATGAGCCGGCTTGGCAACAATCAGATATGACGACTCCGACGACCTACCTATAACGACGTAGCACATCGTCTGTCTGTGTGTGCCAGCCGCCTCTTCCCCAATAATACAAGCCCATATTTCGGAATGCTGTTATCTTTCTCGGTGTGTTATTTATTTATGTTGCAACGAGTTGGAGTCCAAGGAAATAAAGCAAAAATAATTGACCAGACTCGGGGATGAGGTGGAGATGGGAACGACAACTCCCCAAGTACTTAAATGAACGGCGACTTCTTGTTTTTTCGGGTACAGCCCAAGTGGGCAAACTTTGGGGCATATACAGCCAAACTAAAAGTCTTCTATGGAGGAAAAGGCCACGGATGTGTAAGGACTTTTGAATAAAGCCGTTGTTTTCAACTGATTTATTTATTTTAATGGAAAAATTCAAAATGTCGTAAATGTCACAAACTTGTATAAAAGGTATAATACTTAACGTAAAACAAGAAAAAATTAGTTGATTTGATATTGCAATAGTTGTTTGATTATAAACTACAAATAAAGTAAAAAATGATGTAAAATACAAAATGTCGTAAATGTAACAAACCGGTATAAAAGGTGTCAAAACATACAAAACCGGGTTAAAAGATATAAAACGTATTTGAAAAGATCGAACCAAGAGTAAATTTGAAGTAAAAGTTTGTTTTACTATAAACCGTAAGTTACGAAGTGTCACAAACCTGTATAAAAGGTATAAATCGTAAAATAAATCATAAAAGAATTATATCGAGTTAATGTTGGAATATTTATTAATCATAACCTACAAATAGATTAAAAAACGACGTAAATTACAAAATGTCGTAAACGTCAAAAACCTGTATAAAACTTGTAACGCATCATTTAATGCACGAAAAAATATGTGTAAGTTGGTATATCAATATTTTTCGATTATAACCTACAAAAAGATTAAAAAATGACGTAAATTACAAAATGTCGTATATGTTACAAACCGGTATAAAAGGTGTCAAAAACATATAAATCTGGTATAAAGGGTGTAAATCGTATTTTATAAGATCGAAATAGGGGGAGGTTTGAAATTTAAATGTTTTTTAATTTAAACCGTAAATTACAAAATGTCGTAAACGTCATAAACCTGTATAAAAG